CTTGTTGACAATTGCAAGGGATAGAGGGAGGTGGAGAGCCATGATTGCCTACGTCATGAAAGGACATGGCATATAAAAAGAAAGAAAGATAGACCACAAGAAGTCAGAACAACACGAAATACAACACCCAGATAGAGATGAAATTAAACTCAATAATCTCAGTGTACTCTGTCATTATGTACTCTGTAATTCTCTTAGAGAATGCATGGGATAGCTTAAAATGGCAAACCCTACCATACAGGGAAGAACTGTGTCCGTGTGGTTTGAACCCTATAGGTGTGGACTTATGACAACGATGAATTGTATTTCTTTATGTTTTATTATTAAACCGTAGAACGAGCGAAAACAGTTTGGACTATGACAGTAATATAAGCGTGAACACGCCTCTTCACCCAACCCAGATTCCTTAGTGAGGCAGTCAAGCACGAGGTGATGTATAGTTGGCCAACATGTTGACAACGTCCTATCACCCTCTACCTTACGCTTCCTCGAAGAAACGAGGCTAGTACTCTTGCCCCATATATAATAAAGTGAGTAAAAGTAATCTATAGAAAATTCAGTTCAGTTTGTGATGCAGCGTTGGGGCTTGATGTATTGCCGATAGACCGCAAGAAGCCGGAGAGCTTTCGAAACCCAACACTTCGACAGAGATGAAATTAAAATCAATAAACAAGCTCACTATGTCCTCTATTATTATGGGTGCGGTCAGAACCAGATGGAATTAATAAAATCACCGGAAACTCTCTTATGAATAGTAAATTAACCCGTGGTGTAATTTTATTTCGCTCCTTGGACATTTTAAGACACCAGTGATGGCTAAGTGGGTCGCAAACTAGCCTCACTAAATCATTTTCTAGTTTCCATCACCACAGAGCTCCACCCTTTTTAATCGCTGTTCCGGATGGAGAACATTTTCTAAGAGACATTTTACAAGAGACAGATCAAACAGAAAATAAAGTACTGGAGCTGCCCAGTCTTCACGTTTCAGACTTCATGGAGTTCAAAAGCGTCTACACGGCCTTGTGGGTGATGAACGGTTTCCTATCCAACAATCCCTTTCCCACAGACGAAGCGTTGTTAGACTTGATTTTCTATACCATGGGAAACGATTCGACCGCCAATATTCATTCGTTTCACCCGTTCTAACCTTCACAGCTAAGACGCTCCAAACCACGTACACAGAGCCGAACCATCCTCATTCCCTTCATTCTCCTTTAAGAAGGGTGGTCTACTGGAACCGCTTCTTCTCACAAACTGCTTCTATGTGGAATAGACTCCCAAGAGGATGCTTTCTCGACCACTTTTATCTTAACCTCTTCAAATTTAAGCTTAACCGTTATCGTTCACACATATCCTTATAAACTGCGCTTCTTACTTACCGATCATATAAGCTGCTTCGGTAACCCTCTAGCTTGAGTGGCTCTTGTGTTCTGTATTCGGTGAAGAGTAGTAAAAACCAAAAAAAAAAAAATAGCAATAATATTTATTGCGGAACTAAAATATGTTTTGTCAGCACAAGAAGAATTTTAAAAGAAACAATAGTTTATTGTCCAAAGCTGCACAAACAAAAGGGACATTAAATCAACATTGATCAAGTAAAACCGGGTTTTCATCTCAGACTGAAATATATAAAGAACTACAAGATCAACAGAAATGTCAGATATATTGTCTATTTTAACCAAATTATAATAATGCAACTTTGAACTTTAAAATCACATATAAATATGAAAAATCGAACCCCCAAATCCTCCCCTCTTCCTATTCTAGATTTAAGGAATGAAGAAAAGTGGATTAGGCAATGACTCGGATGCTGGTAAGAAAAACGTATAGAAACCAATTAGCATAATCCTATCATATGAAGAAAGAAACTTTGACTTGAAAAGTCCTTTAATCCGGTAAGGCATTAATGAAAAGCTAATCCTTCCATCGGAAGGAAGATGACCACATGATTGACCGAACGTTGCGTTGTTCTTATTGTTCTGACAGAGAAACGAGACGCGTTTGCCGAAATGATTAGGAATGGACAGGTCACAGGGCGGTGCTAATGTAAATCTACCATCTCTCACATTGACTTGACATTTTCATCTTTCAAATTGATAATACTTAAATGAGGAAAGACGTCCGGTGGCTTGCTGCCAAAAGTTCGATCATATCGGCCAAAGTTAGAATAGATTTGTCTGATGCCTTCAAATTTTGTCTGCATATCGATTGCTTCAAAATTCAGTCCTATGTTTTGCGAACAAGGAAAATGATTATTCAGACGTTTGGTTTGCTTTGGTTTGGTTTGGTTTACGGTATATCAACACTAATGGGTTATTTAATGCCGACAAAATTTTCATTGCTGTTAATATTTGCCAAAAATCTATTTCTGGTAATATTTTTTCCTTCAAAAATGTATCACTGGTGATATTTTTTTTTCAAAAAAGTATTGCTGGCAATATTTGTTCTCCTCAAAAATGTACAGCTGGTAATCTTCTTTTTCAAAAACGTATTGCTGGTAATATTTTTGTTTCTTCAAAAACTTATTGCTGATAACAATTTTTACAAAGTATTTCTGGTATTCAAACCTATTTATTATACACTTTCATCGTGTTTTTACTCCAATTTGGAGTCAACTACTTGCCCATAGCTGGGACCCTAACAGGTGCTACCACCCGGAGCCAGGGTAGACCTGGGAACACCAGCAATTATGAGGTGGTTCCACGCTCCTCAAACTCTCCTGATCAGAGGCCTTGCTGTTGGACGTAGTTTATCTTCTTACCCAGGACGCGGATGTAGTTTATCGTCATATCCAGGACGTTATTCAGACGTAATGCGATTGGTAATGAATTGTGGTGCACATGGCAAAAAATACTTACAAAAATAGTTGCGGATATATAAATAATACACTGACGGGAAATGAAACTGAAATACCTCGATAGATGGTGACTGTTTTAACCTAGGTACACTACACTGGAATTAGCAAGGAGAAAAATCCTACCGAGGCCTTGATGTCCTTCTGGGAATACGTAACACTTCCTCTCTTCTTCCCATAATTTAATGTCCTGGGTATGAAAATAAACTACATCCGCTAATAAGGCCTCTGATTGGGTGATTGGAAATTTTCAGGAGGGTAGAACCACGTCTTAATTGCTGTTGTTCCCAGGTCCTCCCTAACCGGGGTTGATAGCACCTGTTAAGGTCCCAGCTACAGGCTAATAGTGAAACCCCAAATGAAACACTACGAAAGTATAAAAATACAATTTTTTTATAGAAAAATACCAGCAATACATTTTTATATGAATAAAAACACGAACAATATACCGGGTGGAACAAGAACATTCTCCAAATCGTGTTACAGCATAATTGTCCACCCCACAAAATTTTTAATAGCTATAAAAACACTAAAGTTTCTTTTTTCCAGGTATACAGATAAAACTTTTATCTATCATGATATCATCTATCGTACGAATCACTGAAAAACCCTTTGAGTTACTCAGCTAGAAAGAGAACAGTTTAAAATCGTTTTGATCCAGCCCCACTGTCTTCTGAACTGAGCAATGCTGACAGGAAAAATATTCAGTCCTTCAGTAATTGTACCAATATTCATACTCTGTCTTCCATCTTCAAAGACCATTCAACAACCATCCACAGAACGGAGAATAAGTTTAAAAAGAAGGAACAGTAGAATGGGAAAAGGTATCAGGTCACAACAGGAAGAAGGGTCATCACTTCAACTTAGAGCTTAAGAGATCAATTAGAAAAGATCCAACTCATTCCATAAGACATGTGGTACATGAGAGAGGAGTTTCAGCTATGACAGTCAAAAAAGCAGTGAAAATAGACTTGAAAATAAAATCGTACGTGAAATCTGTGAGGCAACTTGTTACACCAGGACAGAAAGTTAGGAGGTTAAAAAGGGATAAGATCATCTTGAATAAGTTGGAAAATGATCCTAGAATAATATATATATTTATATATATCTGAACTTTATTTCGGTTTTTTATGAGCTTCCGGTACTTAGCTATGATTAATTAATGATGAAGATGATATTTTCGTTTATGATCGATTTCATCACGATACTTCAGTTAAGCTTGGAGAGTCATTATACATTCTTATTGTTCAAAGTAGAGTCTGATAGTGCTATAAAAACCTCGGATAATTCTAGTAATATATCTTTAATCATTTCTATGATACAGCAGTTCAAAGCCTAATCTTACAATTGTACAATTTTGCTGTTGCATGATTTGGATAATTTTGCTGTTACACCCGGAAAATATAGTAAAATGCCCAACAATTTATTTTATCGGTAATTGAACGTGTACAATTGCGTTTTATTTAGTTGAAGCTATAAAATTAGGTTCAAAATATTTAGATTTCGACATTAAATAACCGATAGAGGTTGATATGCTGATAAACAAAAACAATCAACACCCCACAAATTATTATTTTAAATAAGCCAGTCTAATAATCTCTCTCTCTAGCTAGGGTTCGTAAACCAGTCTGAAAGAATGACAACTCTGGATTAAGAACCAGTTGGGCGAGAGTAAATCAAGCCCACTCCGTAAGCAGCTAATTGCTAATAATGAAGAATACGAAGGTAGTATTTGCACGCGAGGAGATAAGAGATATTACCTTTTTCGGTTTTCCGTCGTCTTGTATCGTAATCTCACGCCTAGTTTATCTACTTGAGCCTTAGACAGTGGCGTGTGATGCGCTAAAATTCGCTTAAGTGGATGAGCTAAAACGGCTCACGCCATAGAAATGCACACCTGGTAATTTTATTAAATTAAAGCCGTTTAATAAGTGTGAAATTATAACTGACCGAGTGATTGATACGTTTTTTCTCGGCTTGTGAAACTATTTCTGCGTTAATTAAAGGCGAAACATTTATTATTGTAAAGATAATAATTATATTTTTGCATTAATATTTTTTCGAAAAAAATCATTTTTTAGGGTACAAGTCCTACTATTTAATCCATAGATGGTGGGAATAGCTGGATTTACACATATTCCGAAGGATGCGCGTTTGTAAGCGTAAGGAACACGATCCATCGAGTTTTCGGCCCACCGACTTCTCAGTCCACCGAGTTCTCGGCCCACCAATTTCTCGGCCCACCGAGTTCTCAGTCCACCGAGTTCTCAGTCCACCGAGTTCTCGGCCCACCAATTCTCGGCCCACCGAGTTCTCAGTCCACCGAGTTCTCGGCCCACCAATTTCTCGGCCCACCGAGTTCTCAGTCCACCGAGTTCTCGGCCCACCAATTTCTCGGCCCACTGAGTTCTCAGTCCACCGAGTTCTCGGCCCACCAATTCTCAGCCCACCGAGTTCTCAGTCCACCGAGTTCTCGGCCCACCAATTTCTCGGCCCACTGAGTTCTCAGTCCATCGATTTCCTAGCCCACCGAGTTCTCGGTCCACCGAGTTCTCAGTCCACCGAATTCTCAGTCCACCGAGTTCTCAGCACACCGATTTCTCGGCCCACCGAGTTCTCAGTCCACCGAGATCTCAGTCCACCATGATCTCGGCTCACCAATTTCTCGGCCCACCGAGTTCTCAGTCCAGCGATTTCTCGGCCTACCGAGTTCTCAGTTCACCGAGTTCTCGGCCCACCGAGTTCTCGGCTCACCGATTTCTCGGTCTGCCGAGATCTCGGTCCACCGAGATTTCTCCTCCGTAAAATTAGCCCACGAAAGAACTGGCAAAAGATTTTTTAAGATCGCTAACTAAATATTACAACCACCATCGGAGAAACAAAAAAGGTTCTAAAGTTTGACCTGAATATTGGTTATTATAAACAATACATAAAAGATCTATATAATCATAGAAACGTTAAGAAACAATCAAACTATAATCTTAAAATTCTAGATCATTTATATAAATAAGTCCAAGTTATCCACTAACTCCAGCAATAAGGAAATATTTAATTAGCCTGAAATTAAATTCTTTAAAACCTTCAGAATTATAAAATAAATTTAGAGTATTTAAAAATAAACAAAGATGATAAAAATAACCAGAAACAACGTAAAGGCAATATTATGTTTTAATCACCTTTTAAACGTAATGTAAAAATTAATATTTTTTTCTAAATTTAATTCATAAACACTTTATCCATTCACCCTTTTTCTGTAACTATTTTCATGGTAATTGTTTTGGTGAGGTTTTCTTATCGGTAGCATTACGAATTTAAGCGCAGTACCATATTGATAGCAATGTGTCATAACTTTATATTTGCAACAGCTTAATTTAACTGTAATCTCTATGTTAACATTTTCTTTTCTCGCACTTCTCGCTTGTGGAGCTCTTTTCCGGTTTCTTGCTTTGCAGTCAACTTTTTTCTTCAAAAGTTTTAATGAAGTATCGATTATTATCTTTTGTACTTTTATTATGCTTAATAATGTTTTCTTTCCCTCATATTCTATCATACATAGTAACGCCTTGCATCTTAGTGGCTTTATTGTCTTTCTTGGGGTGAAATGATTAAAAATAAATTTTAGAACCTTTTTTGACAAAACATAATTTGACTTCTTTTCTTTACAAGATGCCTAATTATTAGGGATCTTTCTCCCAAGTAGCACCAATCCATTGCACTAAAAGTTAGTTATGTAGTTAGTGGACCTATCTTGATTGATCTCATCCTTTTACAGTTGAAATGGTTAAATGTAATCGTAAGTTCTATGTCGATGGTTTCTTCTTTGGCACTTATTACTTGTAGAACTCTCTTCTGGCCTCTTTTTTCCTAGTCAACTTTGATCTTCAAAACTTTAAATGCAATGTCAATTCTTATCTGCTGTTTCCTTAAATCCTGTTCTTTTATTGTTCTCTCTTCTTTTTTTTCCTCATATCCTTTAACACTTAGTAACCCATTGAGTCTTAGTAACTTTATTGCCTTGCTTGGGGTGAAATGATTAAAAGCAAATAAAAAATAAAACTGGTGTTGTCTCGAATTTAGAGAGGGCGTCTGAGTAGGTAATATTTTCCATAATCAGGGTCTTCTTCACTTTATGTGATGTCTGCCCTCTGTACTTGGGTTAAAATGGCTCTCCACAACTTCCTACCCTTTTCAGCTGCATGTAGTATTTGTTCAACTTACTGTAAGATGTATTGGGGGCGTCGATATCAAGCTGCTGCAGAAATTATTACACGACGGAAAATATGTTAGAAATCCGATGGTGCTTTGGGATAGTGAATGATGCTTTTAGGAAATTAGTCAAAGTATTAAAGCATAAAAATGTCTTCATAAAGAAAGAAAAGAATACTTGCATGCAATGTAATATCTAATCTCCAATATGGTAATGAATGTTGAACAATATCTGCACGGATGAAGAAGAGACTTAAAGCAACAGAATGAATTCTGAGAATAGCATGGTGAAAAGATTTGAGTAAGGAGTAAGTTTTAAGAAAAATAAAAACTACAAGAAAACGTATACTTACAATCAAAAAGAGAAAGTTGACATTTCTAGGACAGATCGTGAGGAAAGAAAGCCTGGAGAGTTTAAAACTCACAGAATGAAGGCAAGAGACTAACCTACTTAACGAGATTGTGTGAATAGACGGTAAACAAGGATTGGTGAGAAGTCAAATTTACTTAGAAAAACAACAGGCAGGAAGTTGTGGAGATATGTGAACAATCACGCCTATATGTTTATTTTATAGAGGTTATATCTTGTTTCGATAATGAGGAATAAATCATCTATAAATGAGTATGAATATTGGCTTGAATTTTGCAATTAGACTTTAGTTGCGTTAATTTGTAAAGCTTTTACCAAGCATTATCCCATAATTATTTAAGAGTTTTAAATTGTGATTAAATTTTTGGACTATTGCATATTTAATTATACTTTGTTGAAAACGTCCTTCAATTAATTAATTTAGCTTTCTTTAACATGCTGAAATGTTCACATTTTATTGCAATTAATTATTCAATTACTCCTTGCTCCTCCTGGTGGGGTAAGGGTTAGTGGACTAGTCTACGTAACCATTATTATGACTTTTGTACCAAATAAAAGTGCCGGCATGATTAAATTATTTTCCTTGATTTTCAATCCCCATCTGGTACTATTCTGATTTGGTACGGCACGTATATTGTTTTTCGAAACATTTCCTATCACAGTCCACTTTAAACCAATCCAGAATATATAGTTTACCCTACTCTATAATAACCCCTGAGGCTATTCTCTTTCATACTTTGGGCTATTAAATAGCCTAGCTTAAAATATACCCCGGCTAAACCACATTACACTCGCTTTTACAATTAGTAAAACAAATGCAAGTGGGTGAAAGAGATATGTCCTGACAAAAAAGGTGCAGAAATAGAAAGAGTGAGTATCACAGATAAAGGAGATATACATAAGAAATATGTCAAAGATTAAACGAATATATCGAAGAGCTCTTCCACGATAAAAGAGACAATAGGCAATACACATAAATATCGACGGACTGGAGAAATTGAAATCTATACTGGCCAATATGAATAGAAACAAAGTGACAGGGATGGTGGAGGCCTTAGACTATTTGGGTATGTTATGGTCCAAGTCCTTGTACCACGATGATGGTCCAAGGTAGAACCAATAAAGAAGAACTCGAAGGCGGATATGGAATAACACAGATATATTACAAACAGGAATATATACAGAGAACAATGTAGTCTCGACCAGTATCACTATTCCAATGTCTTGCAGCAATTGTCTGAACGCGACTCTGTTTCGGACTGCCTCTGACTCGACTGACTGACTCGCTCGCTCTGACTGACAGACACCTGACGGACTTCTGACGGACCTAACTCCAGACTTCAGACTGAACAGTATTTAGTCACTTCCACACGAGGGCATCGTGTGGCACAAGCCCGGTTTAACGTAGGATCTCCGAGCCCGTGGGCTCGGCCAAAAATATGCCCTTTGAACCTGTATAAACGGGTTCAGGGTCGGTTTACCTTCCCGAAAAAGACTCCGCCTTTCGGCGTAGCCTCGTTCGGGTTCCTCCCCGCCCGAAGGTAGAGAGTTCAACCGATCAGCCGGTCGCCCGACTTCAGGTTGAACGGTATTTAGTCACCCACCCACGAGGGCATTATGTGGTACAAGGCCGGTTTAACGTGGGATCTCCGAGCTCGTGGGCTCGTTCAGACTTCGGACTGAACTCCCTGCTTCTTCTTGAGGCGCAGTATTTATTACGTATGGAATCGTCCATTATGCTATTATGGGTAAGGTCCCATAACAGGGTATAAACAAGGCTACTTTCGTTTTGTTTTCTTTTTTTATATTAAGTACAAAGCCCTGAAGCCACTCGATGTAGACGATTACGTTACGAGGCAATCTGTGCGGAGAAGAGGGGGAGATAATTGTTATCTCTTTCATATATCTCTGCGTAGTAGTAGTCGTAGTGCAGTTCACCGTGTCCTGAATAGCAGTCGGGCTTGCTAGGCATAACGACCCTATGTTCGTCAGTTGTTCTCTATTTATACTTGTCTATCTTATTTGCATACGATACTACAATAATGTTTCACCCTAGCCCTGAACAGGTTAATATTGTAGTGATCGGGGAAAATTCTCTTGGGAGTCGGTTCTACAGAGCAATGATTCGCGGGAAGAAGCTGCTCCAGTGGAACTTATCTCTCACCGATGGATTACGAAGGGAACTAGTTTTAGTTTGCTACTATGTAGGTCGCATGGCGGACACTTACTGTGAAAATTTGAACTGACCATATTAGGGAATGTAGTTCCTCCGACCTCTTTCCATGGAAGAAGCAATAGAGCAGTGAGAGGCTTGTCGCATCCAGCCTGTTAGAGAGGGGTTGAAGTGTGGAGAATAATTTGTCACCCACAAGGGCTGGGAGTTGGACATCAGTACTCCATTCTTGGCCTGATCTGGCTTACATATATTATAAATGAAATCTACTACAGTTGTGATATAACGGAAGACCTAAGTAGATCTACTCCGATAGCACTGCCTAAGAAGCCAGGTGCGAATGAATGGGAACTCCATCGGACAATCAGTCTAATGAGCCGTACAGTAAAGCTTATCATCCGAATTATGATGAATTGAGCGCAGGAGAATCAAAATAGATATACAAGAACAGTGCTGGTTTGTTAAAGAGAATGTATTTAAAAGCGCCATATGTATGCTCAGAATAATATCAGAAAGGCCGATACAAATGCAGGATGAATTCCTTTGTTTTATAGATTATGCAAAGACGTTAAAGTACATCACAAAGAACTGCTGGAATTGCTATATAACATTGACATATTTGGGGAGGATATTACAATAATCAAGAACCTATACTGGCATTAAACCGACTGTATACGGATTAAAAATGAGTTCAGTAGATATACAAAAATAGAATGAAGTGTAAGACAAGGATATATCTTCTCATCTAACAAAAAAAGCTAAGCAAAGTATTAAGAAACTGAAAGTTTCGTTAGAAGCAAAGAAAAGACTACTGAACTATCTGTCCTCCTATATGGCAGCGAATATCGGGCAATCTCTTCAAAGATGAAGAAGAAACTTGAAGTAGCAGCAATGTGGT